TACTCATCTCCTGTGCCCCAATAGTGCACCAACAACCAAAGGTTTAGGTAGGTCTTCTTTCAGTAGTAGCTTTTATTGTGGTCTTATGGGATAACTGTCATTGTGCTCATGCAAATATGTCTGATCTGCCCACATCTTAGACTCAGGAGGTCCAGTATCTTAACAGCCTGCTCCAGTGCAGACAGTCATTTATACAGTAGGTGTTGCACTGGACCACACCCAGGGAAGGGTGCCATCAACAGCTTGAGGTTCAGTGCGACAAACAAACATGACAAAAATACTCTTACCAGATTCGACTGGGCAAAAGCCAATTCCCCCTCTACTTAAAGAAGAAAGTGCAATGATTCCTCTCCCGGTGGGAGTCTTTGGGGGTCTTGTTAGTATATGTCATCCAGTGCTTGTAGCCCCTCCTGATTAGGGATGAAATACAAAAGACAAACGTATCTAAGGTTCTGTGATTCCTGAATTACTGCCAGGGCTTTCAGTCCATCATTTCCTCTCACGCACACAAGTCACATATGTCTTCATTGTCTTTAGCATTTTCCCAAAAGACCCTATCTAACAGTTCACTCAGAACATCTCAAAGTTATCATTAAACTATACACACTTCTGTACAATCTCAAATCTAATCAGATCACAAGTTCTACTCACACTGGTAGTCTTTGTTATATGTAGAGTAATTGCTAATGCCACGGGCTGGCTTTGGCCTTCAGTTGTTCTCACTGTTGTTCTTCCACAGGCTTCCTGCAGATTACCCCAGAGGGCTCTCCTCAGGCCCAGCGCAGGGGCGAGTTGGGAGGAGATCTGGATGTCTCAGGCTCTTTCTGCCTCCACACTTCTGGTATCTCCACCCAGCAAGTGTTTGAGAAGCACCACACCTCAACTATCTCCATCCAGCACACACGTAAGGAGCACCCTGGGGTGTCCTCTGAAAGTGCAGGCACAGTGCAGAGCCAGACCAGTGTCACAAGACACACAGCCCAGACAGAAACGCCCCCCACTGGACCCTCCACCCCCATGGAGGGAGCTGGACACTGATCAACTGCTGTAAAACCCTCTCATGGGCAGCCAAACTGTTTATAGTTTTTTTTTTTTTATAATAATTATTATTATTTTAAATATAACTATTTATTTTCATATGTTTTATGTAGTTCATAATAAAATTACTATTGTAGGCGTTACATTTATTTATTGTGGTCAAGTTCGATTAATACATTATTTGTGTTCATACTGCTGGACTTTTTATTATTATTTATTTTTCCTGTGGAAGGTACCATGGCATCAGACAGTGCACTTTTTGTACATACATCATAATTCTTTTAGCATAATGCAGTCCGCTTTTAGAAGAAGCCCTCACACTCCACATCTATAGCTGTTGTGTATTTTTTTTGTGTTTCACTGATAAGCTCAGAGCTAAGGTGAGGGTGTTGGCGTCTCAAGATCCGTTTTATTGTTTTGAATTGTAATATTACATTTTCTTTGATTTTTGCAGGTTTTTTCATGCCTATACTTGTAATCAGAGGTGGGTAGAGTAGCAAAAATTGTACTAAAGTTCCTTTACTTCAACATAATAACCCTCAAGTAGTCCAAGAAATGATTCAACTTATTTTAGGTTAATGTTAGTGGAGGGGCAAAATTCAGTAATGCATATAATGAATGAATCATTCATTTAGTATGGTAAGCACAGAAATTAGAAGGAGATATTCTGAAGGAGCGCTATAAGAAACACAAATGTTTAAATCATTTCATATTGTCAACATAAACTTGTGCCACATAACTTTTACTCTAGTAACAGTGCACTGTCAAATATTTTATTAATAGAATACAGACGGTGGGTAGTACTCAGTTACATACAGAGTATGTTTACTCCTACTTGAGTAATCTGTTTATTGATGTAACAGTACTCTTACTTGAGTAAAAACTGTGCTTCCTCTTTCCACTGTGAGTGACTCTACAAGTGACAAAATCTTTACGTGACAATATGAAACGATTTGAACATTTGTGTTTGTTGCGGTTCCTTCACATCTGATTTTGTTTGTCTCATTTTTGTGTCTGTCCTTTGAAAACACCAGATTTTGTGGATTATTTCCTGTTTTGCCCTTCAAATTATATTCACTTTAAATTATGAATCAGATGTTCCCTACAGTTACTCTTACTTGAGTAATCATTTTCCCAAAAGACTTGAGTAATTTACTTATTTGAGTAATTTCTTTGACGACTACTTTGTATTTCTAGTTGAGTAATATTATTTTGAAGTAACGTTACTCTTACTTGAGTAAAATTTTTGACTACTCTGCCCACCTCAGATAGAGGAAAAGTAAGAATATGAAAACTACTATGTATTTGTGTGTACCCATTACCCAATTATGAGGTTACAAGGCTGAATCCACCTGGAACTTCCTCACTTACTCACAATTGAACATAATGTGTATAGAATATGTGATCAGATCAAATATATTTATAATGCAGAGTGCTGAGTGCAGCCTGAGAGCCTGTCAGCATGTGCTTCTTCTGTATGCTGTTGGTATTATCACGATGTATACCCTGGAGCTTTACTCTGGAGTTTCCTGTGATGTGGCATCCAGACTGATGCAGTACTGCTGAAAGGATTCTTGTACATAGACATTCATTGGTTTTGTTTATTGACTGAACAACGTTTCCACATTTTGGGTTGGGTTGAAATGGCTAGAATAAGGTGTATCATGTGTATCTCCACTGTATTAGCAAGCTATATTTTGTGTTGTCTGAATGAATGTATGTGGTAAATATAAGGCTGTAATAAAGATCAACGATTGCCTGATGTGTTATTCTCTAAAGAGTAGACACAGTATGTTTCTTATAGACTAGCTGTATAGACACAATACACCTCCAGCCACAGCTGGAAGAAAGAGACTTTATATACACAATTTAGACCACCATCTTTGAATGGAGGATCAGAGAGCCTTGAAATAAACCCGTCTATTAGTCCACTAAGACCAGTGATTCCCAGGGTCCAAACATGAGGCACTGAGCTTCTTTATGATACTGTTGGATTCAATTAGATTCATAAATTCGATTTGTCCTTGAAATACCGAGGCTATGTTTGGTAGCAGATGGATGGATCACCAACAAATCCACCGGTAAAACAGGGGTCACTTTCAGAGATGAGCTTTTTTTAGGCTATTATAGGCTGGATATAGGCCTAATAGCCTATTGTATAGAATGATTCCCAGGACGTGATGGAGGGGAGCGGGATAAACGTGTCAGTGCAGCTATGCCCGGTGCACTGTGGACGGGTGAAAGGATCAACGTCGTGAAACGTCAGAGAGCCGATGACGTAACTGTGGATGACACTTTAGCTCACGCTCAGCTGTGGGCGAGGGAGGAGGCGGAACAGCCCCCCCCCCCCCCCCCCCCCCCCCCTTCCCTCTCTGCACAGTCCCGGAGCCTACTGCGGAAAGATGATACGACGGACACCGCTGGTCGTAGCGGAGGCGCATAAGCCGTAGAGCGGCAACGGGCCCTGCGTGTGGTTACGGCTTTCAGGCGTGTGTGATGGTGATGTGGAGCCAGTGGAGCAGGCTACGCCACGAGTGGATGCAGTGAAAATGACGAGAAGAGCCTTCTCGTGAAAATAACAGCGCGCCCGAAGACAAGGACCTGACCGCTCGTATTGGGAAAGCGTGATTTGAGCGACAAAGGTAGGTTTTTCCAGATGTGCCGCACGTCCCGCAGATGTAGATGCTCATCACCCAGACGCCGACTATCCTAGCCTCATTGGAGTGGTGTTCACGTAGAAAAGGCTACAGCCTAATAAGCTTCTAATCTAAGACCATTCTAAATATGTGGAACATTAGGCCTACTAGGCTACTATTCACACGGAAGCGGGTAGGCCTGAACACGACTACTGGGATCTACGTGGATCAGTAGTGACTTGGTAGCCTTTAGTCTCGGCGTAGATGTCAAATGAATGTGTCATGACTTCTGGAGGCTTTTTACATTGCATAGCATAATAAATACATTTTAAAAATATAATTTTCTTGCCAAAATATTGTACTACTGCACTATAAAATGAGATGCTATAGCTTTCTGCCTATGTCAAGTCACTACTGTGTAAGAGACATACATAATACAAAGACATTTCAATGATAGACAAATGCAGGCGTATATATACTGTGGCCCTCATGTCTTCTGCTAAACTCGTCCTCACAATCATCAACAGCATCACCACTGTATTATGATACAAGTCTAAAAACAATGTTCCAAGTCTTATTAATGGTACAGTAGCTCGGCCAGACTGACTCCATGTATTAACACTGGTCTGTGGCTCTCCGCTTCAGAGGCTTCTATATGCAGCCATAAGAGAAAAATGTTTGGACACCCCTGGACAAATGTTTTGTGTAATAACTGGATTTTGCTTGATTTTAACACAGCTGCTGTTGTGGTGGTTTTGCAGGTGCCCTGTGCAGTGACATGTCCTCTGTGTGAGCAGCTCTACTCGTCATCCATGAGGCTTAAAATGAGTCCTATACTTCAGCAGAACAATAATAACAACTACCCATGCCTGAGTGCTACAGGCCCCGCGCCCCTGCCACACAAGTGCTCCCTCCCTCTGCCCTTCTCCAGTCGCCCTGAGCTGAGCCTCACAGGCCTGCCTCTCATCAGGGGGCTGCGAGCATGGGCCCTGTGCTCCAAGAGCCGTCACCGACCAGGGGGGGCCCTGGGACAGGCCCCTCTCAGTCACCCACAGCCTGCAGATGTGCATTTGAGTGCAGAGTGGGGGCTTCCCCTGGGGCTAGATGCCAGGCGGTCCGGTATAGGAGCTCTGGTGGCCACCCTACAGACCAGTGAGGGCAGCAGCAGGACGCAGACACAGTGCCTATTCCTCCGCACGGACAGGGGCAGCTGTCTGTACCCCACAGGCAAGCCAACACTCCATACAACCCTCCAGCACCCCGGGGGTATGCTCCGAGGTTGGCTACGAAGCAAGACAGGAGGGACTCCAACCATGCCTGCACACACCGGACCCAACAGGGCCAGAGAGCGGTCAGGTATGGTCTTTTTATTTGTCATATCCATGATTCAAACTGTCAACCACATTTAATTAGTACATGGTGTGGGAAGGTTCTATCATTTTAAAAACTTTTAAATTAAAAAAAAGAAAATTCTTTCCAGGTCGAAGGTGGAGGAAGCCTGCCAACCACACAGCAAGTCGAGAAAGGGTGCACTTTAGGCAGCATCAACAAAACGAGTCCAGAGGGAGAGTGGCCAGAGAGGAACCCAGAGAAGAACTCGGAAAAGAGAGCAAACATCAGAGCAAGGATCAGGCCAGAGATTTGCCCAAAGAAGAACCTAGAGAGGAGCATAGAGAGGAGCCACAAGAAGAGACCAGAGATCAGCTAGACGTTTGGTCCAGAGAGGAGACCAAGGAGAAGAAAAAGGTGGAGCACAGAAAGGAGACCAAAGATCCACCCAGTGATGAGACCAGAGACCAGCCCAGAAAGGAACTGAGAGAGGAACAGCGAGAAGGACAAGGCAAAAAAAACACAGAGTCCAGGGATCAGCCCAGAGGAGAGACAGGAGAGGAGACCAAAGAGGAGACCAGCTATCAGCCTACAGATGTGTCCCAAGATTTACCCATAAAGGTGTTCCAAATGGAGTCAAAGCACCAGGAGCATTTGTTACTCAAAATCACACATGAAGCAGGATCTAGAGTCAGCGCACCGATGGAGGAACTTCAGAGCTGTTCATGCAAAAGCAGAGAACAGGTCTCAGCTGATGCACCACACATTTCAGATGGAACAGAGGCCTGGGACTCAGATCTCATGTGTCGTCTCTGTGGCCCCTCCTTCCCTGGCTGTGTTTTCCCCTCTCCTCCAGCAGGTGGCGGCAACTGCAAAGCAAACACTGAGGAAGCTGATCCTCTTACGACCAGTCTGAGCACTTTGGGGGACACAGCACAGAGGAGTCCAGGTGAGCTCCGGAGCAGCAACCAGAAAGACAGGACAGGCCATAGTTCAGAGCCCCAGAAGGAGCATCCCAGCCTGGACTCACAGGGTGAGCACCTCATCCTGGACTCACAGGGGGAGGACCTCAGCCTGGACTCACAGGGGGAGCACCCCAGCCTGGACTCACAGGGGGAGGACTTCAGCCTGGACTCACAGGGGGAGCACCCCAGCCTGGACTCACAGGGGGAGGACTTCAGCCTGGACTCACAGGGGGAGCACCCCAGCCTGGACTCACAGGGGGAGCACCCCAGCCTGGACTCACAGGGGGAGGACTTCAGCCTGGACTCACAGGGGGAGCACCCCAGCCTGGACTCACAGGGGGAGCACCCCAGCCTGGACTCACAGGGGGAGGACCCCAGCCTGGACTCACAGAGGGAGCAGCCACTGGAGGACCAGGAGTTTGGGGGATTCATACAGGCCCCGTCAGTCTTGAGCCACGGTGAGTTTCATGTGTTCTCTGTGTATTATTTATACAGAGGGATATCAGTCTGGTCCCTACACCCTCTGTTGTATCTAGTATCGAAACAAGATACTTATTTGAGTAGGTATCAATACTGAAAAGTCCCATTCACAAAATGAACCTTTCCTGAATAGCTTTAGAATGATGTTGAGCTGTATCAGATCAAGTTTAAGAACACATAGACTATACCCATGGACCACTATGGAACCTAGCTGGAAAATCACATTCTATTGTCTAAATTTAAATTTTCATTTAAATTTCAGTAACTCTGCTCTAATAGATCCCCTTTCCTCTAGTATGTAAGCAGCTTTATGAAATCAAACTTTCTGAATGAAAAGGGAAAGTTCATGTGACATCAGCAGCCTGACAGAAAGTCACTTTTTATTCATATGAGATTGAGAGATTGAATTAAAATGACTTTGAATTTTTTATCATTATTTAAAATGATTTTGATTATTTTAATAATTTTTTAGTTCTTACCCGAATAGTAATGTGTCTGGTGACAATTATCAGTTAAAGAGGGGATAATTTACCTTTATGGTTTACAAATTAACATATTTAAATAACATATTTAGATCACTATGTTACCTTTTATTCTTTTGAAAATGTCACAGTCAGCGTGCATCCCGGTAATGAAACTACTGCACATTGCTTGAGATTTGTGAAGTTGCTCTGTAGAGTTTTGTATCATGTTTTTGTTTATTTATGGAGAATTGTCCTGTGAGAGCATGGGTCACGTAGGTTTGTGAACAGAGAATTGCACAGAATCTTTAAGATCACAATAAAGAGGGTTCATATAGGGCCTGGGAGAGATCACTGAATTACTCAAACATTTATGGATGACATGTATAACTTCGTCAGGTATGTTTCTGGGAAGGGAACAATTTTATTGGAGAAAGCTCAAAAACCCAAGACAATGCTTTTTGATTTGTTACAAGTGTTTTTTATGTATTTAGTGGTGAAGCAGCTGCACTGGTTTGTGTAGAACTGGGATGATGTCACATGTTTTTGACTGGTCCTTGTGGTCTGGTTCTTCTGAGGCCCTGGTCTGTCTGAGCTGCATTCCACTGTGTGTGCACTGTAATCCTTTAGAGCCGGTGACCAACATCATTGTGGGGAATATAAAGGTTCTCTTATTAAAGGCACACTGTCACTTTTCTGGAGAAGCCTGTCTCCATGGAGATGTTATTGCTTTGTTTGCTGCTGTGGAATAAACAGAAGTAGCTGAGAGTAGAGAAGAGACATGACTATCAGCACAGGTCTCAGCACTGTGATACACTGTGATAGTGTTGTGAATTCCAGTCTGGCTGTACTTCCGTTGTAGGGAGCATTATACCTCTGATGACATACGTGCAGACGTAGATTTCTCTATCACATGCTTTTTCCGTAGTACAATATTAAACTTAACTATGGAGATGAGCAGGTGATGATTTCATGCTTTATAGTCAGAAAAGTGACAGCACTCCTTTTGCTGCATCATGATTTAATTCTTGTATGAAGGACTTGTGGAGTTCATCCAAGAATTAAATCATCTTGTTTTGTCTTTTCCCAGAATGCATCAGTCCCCCATGGAGTGGCAGTGGCCTGGGGGGGACAGACAGCAGCTGGGACGAGGTGGACACAGGTTCCTGGGCAGTGTTTCCTCAGAACAGCACAGAGCACAGAGAAGACGAGGGAGGCCAGTGGTGGCCCCTCAGCTCTGGGGAGGACAGGGGCCCCACACCAGGGGCCAGTCACAGCCCGGTAATCTTCTTCAACTTCTCACTTCATCTGTGTGTCCCCAGACTGCCACAATATCAAACGTCCAATGTGAAAATGTAGCAGTCCTTCTAAATGCTCCTCTCTTATGGTGCTGCGCAGGTGTGTGTCTTTACGGCTGCCTTTCCGTTACCTCCAGCCTGGTCCACCGCTGACTCCCCAGACTCCAGAGTGCCAACTCTCACCCAGCTGCTCAGGGGCCATGTGGGACCAGAGGAAGGCTCTCCGGAGCGGGGGTAAGTATCCAAACATACTGCACCAGGGGTAATCAGGTTTACATTGCAGGGACTATGAGCTGTGAGGCTGCATTATTATAAAGACACACCACAATGGACTTATGGTTTATAATTGAACAGCACTGTTGACCTTTAATGAAAATCATTTTAGAACTTCCATATCAACAATGCAAAAAACAGGACTAAGCCTGGACTAATGCAGACAAGACAACGTAAGTGTCAACAAGGAGCCCGGCTTGATGAGGTCCAAACCAGACCTTAACCAGGACTAGATCAAGATCAGTGCAGATCTAAACATGGTGTACATGATTGGTATAAAGAAGATGTGCACCAGAGTGGATAGGCCCAGCTCCAGTCCGATGGCTGTGAGTATTCCCTATAATACAAAGTAGTTAGAGGAGCTCTGGTGGTGCAGGTGGAGATGGTGTCCACCACAGGCTTTTCCCTTCATAAAAAAAATAGTTATTACATAAACTTGTGGCAGATGCCCCTCATGTTCAGCATTTCCTCACTACTTTTTGTAGGGCCATGCTGAGTACATAAGAGCAGGCCACTGTGCGGCTGCGGCTGCGGCTGCGGCTGCCTACTCACTCTAATACCAAAGCTTTAAGTAGAGGACATAGAAGTGGCAGAGCTGTTTATAACTCCAGAAAAGCATTCTTCTACACCCAAGACTATGCTCTACTTTTTGTTTTCTTGTGAAGATACCACAGTGGTTACAAGCATAAACGCCAATGGAAGAAGATTGAATCAAGATCGATCAATATTTCCCATATTGCCCAGCCTTAGTTCTAGCCATATGAGCGTCACTGGTGTTGTCTCTTTCAGGCTGTTGGACCCGTTTCATGATCTCAACAAAATGATTGTGCAGAGATACAAGCAGGTGAGCCGAGTGTCCCAGGAGCTGCTACAGAGGAGCCTGAGCCTGGCCTCTCCAAACACGGTTAGTCTCACACACACCTTAAAGCAGACCTACTCTGCAAAAAATGTTATAATTGTTTCCTTCTCATTGACCCTCTGAAGTTGTATTTGGAGTGATTCATGCATCTTTAATTGCTTATTGTCAAGACACCATATTGCCAACCAATCAAATTTTTACCGCCACTGGTACACGCCCACTGTGGCGTACGCACTTCATTCTCCAGTTTTATTTTCTTAATCAAGGATACACATAGAATTTGCCAGAGTTGCTTAGTAATTTTAGTACAAATTTTTTTTAAATTGCAAACAACTTCACAGCACAGCACGTTTACGCAGGCATCAGCTCCAATTGCGCACTAGTTTTCTAACACAGAAATCAGCGGGCTTGTTTATTTTATTAAGTCATTTTAGATCAATATTGTGATTTAAAATGTGCAAATGATATCATAATGATCCACGGGGGTCAGAGATTATAATGACAGAGCTAATAGAAGGACAATAGATCTTCTGTAAACCAAACTAAAACCATAATCTATTTTAACCCATACCTTTAATCATGTTGTTGATTTACATGATGGGGACCTGACTTTTGACCCCATAAGGGAGGCAGGTACTATGATGCAACTGTATTTCAATTTTAGTCCTACCCACACTTTTCTGTAATGTAATGCTCAAAATCTCTGTTTTCTGTACAGGAAGTTGGAGGTAGTCCTGGTAATTGGCACATCTCTCCTGGCCACACCTCCTCCAAGTCACGCTTCCTATAAGACATGCCTCCTCTAACACGCATCCTCACCTTACCTGGACCCACCCTCTCCTGTTCCAGTCCTGGGACCACAAGCAACCAGCAAGGGGCAGGGCTGAAGCTTGGACCAGCCTGGACACAGAGACACTGGGTGTTTCCCAATAGCCAGGATCCTCAGCTTCTAAACGACTTTGTACAACACAGAGCTCGGCCAAATGATGTTCCAATTCCCAAAGCCCTCACGTCCTCTGCGCTTGACTCCTCCGTTTGTCTCTTTTACCAAGGCTGCACAAGTGGATCCTTGGCAACCTCGGAGCACTTGAAATTGCCCACAATGCACTGCAACTTCATTTTTTTACTGGCTTTATTTAAGCAGTAAAATGCATTTTAATCAAATAAAACTCATTACACAATAAAAAGGAAGTAAATATTTTCTTATGTTAGCCACATTGCTGCAGATAATACTATTATTAGATCAAAATAATTAAAATCAGGACAAATGCAGCAAAATCTCTTAAAGAAGGGGAGTGGGAATACAATTATCATCCGAAAATGTTTCAGCCTGTGTATTTATTTATCTAGGCTAATTAAAAGCCTAAATAACTCAAAAGATTCTCCTCTCATCCTTTATTATTCACGTTTTAATGCACGTGGACACATAAAAACACCTCTGAACACTTTATATTTGTAGAAGCATTCATGTTTATTAAAACTCTGAGTTTTATCGCATTTGATCTGGTCACATGACACGGCGCAGTCGCTCCCTCCGGAGCCTGGTGCCTCCCAGGAGCTCTGAGCAGGACACTTGGCTCTGCTTCGGAGGAGCCGACTCTGGAGGAGTGCTGCAAAGTGGTCTTTGGAGGAAGGATCCTGGGAATTGAGAAACATCCACTGAGAGAGCTATGTTCAACATGTTGCAATTGCCTTGTCACTCATGGGCACTAGAGGGCCCTATGGAGGACATTGCACAGATAATGTTATATAATTTCACCCATATGTTCCTCACAGCTGTTCATTTGACCAATTCTCTCATTTGAATGGGGAAATAACCCCCCTATGATCACACTGCAATGGACAAGGCAGCACATCCCCTCAGTTTACATTCATTGTTGTTTGAGAGAATGTTTGACTAATGAAAGAGACCATGGCAAAAAACAAATTAAAAAAATAAAGTTTGAATGAAATGGCATTGCCTGTGGTTGAAAATTAAAGCAGACCTATTCTACAAATGGATATTTCAGAGTTTTTAACCACGTTATACTCATCCAAAGTTTCTGCATGTTGAACAGTTACGCCTGTACTTACTTTGTTCTCCATATAGATTTTCTTAAGTGATGATATATACATGTAGGATTGGGCAGGGGCACGTACTCATTTTGGTACAAATGTAAAAAAAAAAAAGCTCTGTTCTAGTGTGATGTGTAGTTATCCATAGGAGGGCCCACAGCAAGACCCACCTGCACTTTGTTGTGATGACATTTATGGAGACGTCAGCTCCCACTGGGCACCACAGTTTTCAAATGCATTGCACACTCAGATGGCTGATGTCCAGAAGCTTTTTTTTTTTCTTTTTAAAATAACGTTTTGGCAAAAAAAAAAAAAAAAAAAAAAAAGCCTTCATCAGATATTTTTTCTCACTTTGGACCACAGCACACAAAATGGTTGCCAGCCCAGGTGCCCATACCCTCCAATGAATGGTTGGTCCCAAAGTGAGGTCACCCACTCTACAACAAGAAAAAACAGTTTAGATATTTACATAAAAACATTCTAATAAATACAGCAATAGTTTAACCATATCACAAAAAACATCTTACTCCACATTCAGTCCATGAGAAGCGAGAGTCTTAAGTTGGTGAATCCAAAAGTTTCTTTTTGACAGGACCATTTCTAGATTCCCACCTCTAGGGGGCAGCTCCACATGTTCAATGACAAAATATCTTAATCTCCTCGGGGTTACATTGACCCAAAGATTTTTTTTCCCCTTCCTGCTCTCTTGTGGCGGGTCAAGTAGACCCAAAAATGTATTTTCTTGCCTGGCGAGAATTTATCTGAAAATATTTTTTTGGGGTCTGATTGACCCGCCCCAAGAGAGGGGGAAGGAAAAAAAACATTTTCTTTGGGTCAATTTGATCCCGAGGAGAGTGTGAGGGTTAAGGAAGATAGGATGGTTAAAATCTACAAAATGAGCTGCCACAGGTTAATTCATGTTTTTACATCTGATGGTGCTCCTATGTTCTGCAATCCGTGTTTTTAAAGCCCTGCTTGTTTTACCCACACAGGCTTTACCACAGGGGCAGGTGATCATATAAATAACAGATTTAGTGTTGCAGGATATAATTCCTCTGATCAGTATTTCTTTTCCAGTGTGAGGAGCTTAAAACTGTTGCAGCGACACGTGTAGTTACACTGACTGCACCACCACAGCGGTGATTCCCATCAGGAACAGGAGTCAACATGGTTTGGTCTGATGTGGTCTGATTTGGAGGAAGACAGGAGTGCACAAGTCTGTCTGTAAGGTTTTTTCCTCTTTTGTACACAACAAGGGGCTGCTCTTTAAAAGCCACACCCAATGAAGGGCCAGTGTGTGATATGTGCCAGTGTTTTTTCATGATGTTTTTAAGTTGTTCTACGGGTTTTGAGTACACAGTAGAAAATATAATCTGTTTATTGGCATTTTTTAGGGGGTTGACCCTCAGAAAATCAGACTTTAGTGGCAGCATCATTTAAAATAGATTTCTTATAACCTCTTTGTTCAAAGTTTGTCCTTATATTGCTTAAATTTATTTCAAAGTTGCTTTTTTGTGGCATATTCTTTTAAGCCTACAAAACTGGTTGTATGGGAGACTTTTTTCAGTGGAAGTGGATGATGAGAGTCAGCTCTAAGTAAGGAATTTCTAGCTGTCGACTTTTTATATAAGTCCGCGTACAGCTGATTCCCCTCTCTGATGATCCACAAGTCCAAAAAACTCAAGTGCTGTTGATCATAATCCATGGTAACAGATATATATGGGGAGTGCAAGTTCAGAAAAGACTCAAGCCTTTGTTTAGTCCCATTGAACAAGCAAAAAATGTCATCCAAATATCTCTTCCATAAACATGTGTTTTCTTTGAATTCATTGTTATGATAAATAAACTTTTCCTCAAACAGACCCATGCATACGTTACAGAAGGATGGTGAGAAAGGGCTGCTCATAGGTACTTTGTGTTTTTGAATGTAAAAAGTGTCCTGAAAAACCCAATAGTTGTTTTCCAATAAAATAGTTGTTTTTTAATAGAACAGAATTCAAAGAAAACAAATTTAAAGCTTCATGAATAGAGTTCTAAAAGTACTCTGTAGGATTTCTTGGACAGTTGTCTCATAATTCCCCACCTTTATCAGCTTGTTTCATGATTATAGTCAAAAAGACACACTTCTGGATTCACCAACTTAAGACTCTTGCTCCTCAAGGACTGAATGTGGAGTTTGATCTAAGATGTTTTTTGTGATATGGTTAATCTATTGCTGTATTTATTAGAATATTTTAATGTAAATATCTAAACAGTTTTTTCTTGTCATAGAATGGACTGAACTCACTGCGTGACCTCACTTAGGGACCTCCCATTCGTTGGAGGAGGATATGAACACCTGGGCTGGCAACCATTTTGTGTGCTGTGGTCTGCAGCAAGAAAAATATCTGTTGCCAAAATGTTATTTTCAAAATAAAAAAGCTTGTGGACATCAGCCATCTGAGTGTGCCATGCATTTTTTCACTTTTGTCTGCTCTTTACATTTGCATCTCTACAAGAATTTGTGTGTGTGTTTTCTGTTTCTTTTGACACCACAGTTTTCTAACATGGAATTAAGTCAGTTTCAATTAATATTGTGATTTAAAATGTGCAAATGATAACATAGTGATCCACAAGTGTCACAGATTATAACTTCAGAGCACACACAAACACATTCAAGATGCATAGGTCTGCTTTAAAGCAACAGTATCCAATCGTGAGCCTGGTGAGAGGAACATGGAAAAGAGACCACTCAAAACTGGAGAACAAATCATTAGAACTTAGATAACGGAGTTCTTTTTGCGTGCCTTTCAGGGCTTTTGTAGAGAAGCAAAACAAGGGTTTAGCTAAAAGATCAAATGTTTGGACATTTTGAAGCAAATCAGAAAAGGCACCAAACCAGTCAGAGACGGTGACAGGGACATTATTTACACACTTTTTTCTACACTGAATTGTTTTACTAGTAGTACTAGATTACTAGTACACTAAAGACACGTGCTACAGAGTCGACTAAAAAGGGGGCATGGTAAAAACTTTTCAAAACTATTCTGTATCTCTGTGTATCTGACTCAAACGGCACTCACACAAGACTACACCTGCTGGGGGAGCTCATGTAAAAACTGTTATTTATGCTGTAAAGGATGTGAGCAGACCTCCTGTTGAACTGCACTGACACCTCTGACTGAGACACAAAAGACAATGAGAAGCGCAGAGGAAATGTTGCAGCAATAAAAACTTGAATTTAACCCAAGATCAATAAAGTATCTCTCTTTCTCTCTCTTAAGACAGATTCTTGTGAATCATGCCTTCAGCCTTTTTACTAATACCAAAAACATAGCAGAGCTAACTCACTCACTTCTCCTGCTTTCTGTTGTCCCATATCCTTACCATCTAAATACAATGAATAGTGTAGATTAAAGGCCTACAGCCTTATATTTTATACCGTTTTAGTGAATGGTGAGCTAAAATGTGTTAGTCAGGCTGGTACCACCTAGTGCCTCCGCTCAATTTCATTTCTCTCCAGCGACTAGGTCAGGAATCAGAATACACTAGACGGTTTGCAAAACCCCAGAAGTGCGAGTTCTGGCACCAGCAAATCAGCGAAGAGCCAGACATTACGTGTTGTCAACGATTCCCGAGATTGAGGATTTAAAGCCGGAATAAAGAGAATATTTGGTGAATTTTATCAAGGGGAAAGATGTTATTGTTCTTCTTCCTGTGGGATTTGGGAAAAGCTTAATGTACCAGTTAGCCCTGTTAGCAGTGCATTACATATGTGACTACCAAACAGCAGCGATTGGTTAAATGATTAAAAAGTACCCACCTACCGTCGAGCGAACGAATTCTAACACTGCGAGGTCAGACCGTTTGTAAGAAGTGAAACGAAGTAAAACCAGCTGATGAATAAGGCTAAAAATGTGTGCCACTGCAGAAAAATGGTTGAAAAACACTAGCCTACATCCTGTTTGAATCCAGAGGGGTCTGGAACCACAACATAACGTTTCTTGAAAATTGCTGGGGTACGTAATAATCCACTGCATATGCTCAGAATGTGGAATTAATATGACTGAGATTCAGGGGCGGGGCGGGGCGGGGGGGGGGACTAGCCACCGGAGAGATCCCTCATCCTGAGTCTCATCTATCCATGGTCAATAAAGATCTTTATCGTATTCTAAAGTGACAGCATGGTCCTTGCTAGTAAAATAAGAGAGGAATAACTTTGG